GAGCGCCACCGCGCTTCCCAAGCGGCGCACTATCCAGTGCGCCACCGGGCCGGCCCTCAGAAATCTATCTTAATGGTCATGGAGTTTTCTACTTTTTGTCTTGTTTTTTTAACAAAAGTACATTTCATAGGTTACTCTCCAAGTTAGGAAGATGGAGGATGGGTGAACTGGCTTGACCATAAACAAAACAGAACCATCTGATAAAGCAGGGCCCCCGGGTGGGATATCCAGATGCAGCAACCCCTGCTGTTGCTTCCCCTCCTTAGAAAAGCTCAGTAAACACAGGGATGCGTGGCCAGCGGGCGGGGTCGTCCGGAGGCTCAGAGGTGAACCGCCATGTGCACACCAGCCCCTGCCTCTGGTCCCGGTGGCCAGCGCCCACCCACGCACACCCACCCACGTGCTCTCTTGCTCTCTCTCCACCACGCAGAACTTCTGTGGGAAGGAGGGACTGTGTGACACCCTGGGCGTGGCGGACATCGGCACAATCTGTGACCCCAACAAGAGCTGCTCCGTGATCGAGGATGAGGGGCTCCAGGCAGCCTACACTCTGGCCCACGAACTAGGTAAGGCGTGCCGTGCCAGAGCCTGCCTCCCCACGTCAGGGGAGCTTCCTCTGCCACATCCGAGGTAGCCCTGATCCCAAGGAACATGCAGCCCTCACACTTAGCCATGGTCGCCTTCGCCTCGTCATGTTGACAGAGCAATTATATGCACAAAACTCCACTCCCACCCTGAGCATAAGGTCAAAATGCTAAAACGGGGTCCTGGACCGTCATCAAAGGTCACCTGGACAATGCCAGGATATGAGACAAATGCTCAGGTAGAGTCATGATGCTGTATGCACGCTAGGCAGGAAGGACTTGGCGGAGGATGGATTGTAAAGAGAGTGCCACGTGAGAGAGCCGACAACAGAGGTGAATGACAGGCAAGGCGGAGAATAAGGGGTATTGGTTGCTCAGCTGGCCAAGAACGCTGCCTGAGAGAGAGAAGCCCAGGGCGAGGCCTGAAACAAAAATCCTCAGGGAGTAGGAGGTGTGGTTCCCATGAGGAGCTGGTGACTGATTGGTGCTGCGGGCAACTGTCCTCCATCAGCAGAGTCTGGTGTCCCGTCCCTACTGCTGGGCCAGTAGGTGGGGAGAGCTTGGGCAAGACAGGGCATCTGGAGAGTAGTGCACACAGGGTAGGGTGACCTCAGTCTCTCTCCTCCCCAGGGCACGTCCTCAGCATGCCCCATGACGACTCCAAGCCGTGCACACGGCTCTTTGGGCCCCTGGGCAAACACCACATGATGGCACCACTCTTCGTACAGCTAAACAGGACACTGCCCTGGTCTCCCTGCAGCGCCATGTACCTCACAGAGCTCCTGGACAGTGGGCACGGTAGGCACTGCTCGGGCTTCCTCCCTGCTCCTCCCGTCCAGCTGCCCACCGACGGATGTTGGCACCTGTGCTGATTCAGGGACTCCTTCCAGCTGTGCTTTCTCACAAAGCCCTTAGACATTCCAGGCAAGGAGCGACTTCAGTGCAGTGTCCCTCCCTCTGCCTCCCATGCCATGGCATTCTAACCATCCCCCCAGAGTCTACCTCCCTTGTCCCATCTTCCAGCAGCCTGGGTTCTTGATTTATCAGTTGCAAAGCAGTAGAATTAGTCCAAGAAGGTGGGTTTGAATGGAGCTGGAAGGAACAGAAGAATGTGGTACAGAAGAGAAAAGACAGCGTGCCAGGCTGGAGTGGCCGATCCTACGGTAGCTCACAAATGGCAAAGAGGCAGCAAACACGTCATGTGAGAGCAAGCAGTGGGGGCCTGGGTCCTGCCTGGTTAAGACAGTTTGAATTATTGAGTAAAGTGGTGAAGCAAGCAATATATTCCAGATCCTCCTCCCTGCAGGAGGTGGGGACACATACGATGCAGAAATATAGATGATCTAAACATCAGCACTCGACCTTTATTTGCACGCCATGGTTTTTAAGAGCACGTTTCCATCCCAGTTATGCAGTGATATAGATCAATGTTGCAGTGAGCTGGCGTTCGCTTGGTACACACTGAATGGCAGGGGGAATGCATCCTAGATGTTCTGGGGAGCGAAAGAAAGTCTGTCCTGAAATACTTTGCTACTGAGAGTCAGAAATTAGATATACTGGGGCTGGCCCGGTGGCGCACTGCTATAGTGTGCCGCTTGGGAGCGCGGCGGCGCTCCCGCCGAGGG